TTATTTAATTTATTATACTGAACGTTCTGTTATTACTGTCGATTAAATTTCAAATTCAAAGTAATAAACTATGACGTCTTGTACATAACAACCATCCGTATTTAATAAAGCGCACGCTTGATCAAGCGTCTCCGTGAAGGGTAATAGAGTATTTGCCATAGGATAGAGTCGTATTTAATAAAGCGCACACTTGATAAGCGTCTCCGTGAATGATAATAGAGTATTTGCCATAGGATAGAGTCGTATTTAATAAAGCGCACACTTGATCAAGCGTGTCCATGAAGCGTAATAGAGTAAATTAACACCCTCGTATTAGCCAATCAAAATATGGCATTTTAACGTGAAGTATAATAAAAGAAATTACTAATAGTGTTCACTACAAGTTGTTTCAAGATATTAAAAAAACACATTTTAGGAAATTCCAATAGCGAAAAAAATATTAAGCATCTATTTTGAATATTTCTGAATCCAGACACACCTAAAAGAGGGGAGGGGGCTTCTTTTTTTTATATATAAAACCGTTACATAAAAAATATATTTATGATTACCTTCATTAAACTGATACAGGTAAGTACTTTGGGTTATAATATTGCCTTTATCTTTAGTCTATTCTACCAAATCCAACTCTTGACTCAAAAAGTCGTCCGTCTTATACCCGTCCATATTGACAACTGATTACAAGGAGCATGATGTATTTTTTTTTTGTAATAAGAATGCACGAAACGGTCAACCTTGAACTGCTGATCCATACTAGCACCAGGATTTAACGGGAATATGCTAAACAGCCGTCGGGGTTTCTTATCCAGACACACCTATCCCTCGGTGTATAACTATTACTTATCCCATACACCAAACATAGTTGTCCTATTGCTTATAGTGTCTGTATTACGAACTTGTCGAGGTAAACTTAACCTTGATCACTAATCCATGAAATGAGGTCGAGGTCAGGTGAACCCTGTCTGACTGGTATGTAGTCCTTGCAAGGAACCCATATACCAAATATAGTTGTCCTATTACTCAATTATTATTTCACATAACAAAAAAATAGTAGATTTTTTTTCAAACAGTCACTGAACCATGAACATTAGGTCAAGGACAATGGACATAAGACAAACGGAAACTTCGTAACATAAGGTATATGCATACAAGGTATGAAACATCCAGGTCCTCTACCTGTTTAAATATAAATATTTATGCAGTCACCAGATTGTAATCCCTTTGTCTCACATTTTGTGACTTTCTTTGAAGGCAAGACATTAACAAAAATTTAGTCCATTTATCAGTAAAATACGGAAAATTGAATAAATTAGTTTTTTTAATTTTGAATCAAACATTACATGTTAATCGACTAAATCATTAAAAAGCTTCTGCGCAAGTTTCATAAAACTCTATGAAGGTTTGACAGAGTTACTGATGTCTTAAAAACTTAACCCCACAACTTTCTCACTAAGGGAGCTACCATTTGATTTTTATGGGGGGGGGGGGGGGCTAGGATGAAATTTGAAAAAAATAGGCAGGACAAGAGTTTTGAGTAAAAAAAATAGGCAGGATGAAATTATTTGCAAAAAAAAAGAGTCAGGATGACAATTTATGTAAAGAAAAAGTCAGGATAAACTAAAAAAAAAAAAAGGCAGGACCGAATAGAAAGGGAAAATAAAAAGGCAGGACAAAATTTTTCATCCTAGCCCCCCATAAAAATCAAATGGTAGCTCCCTAAGGAATTTTGAAGACTAGTCCAGGGACATGTCACTTTTGTCCATGGTGAGTCGGTGTCTTCCTCGAATGCCAACATTTTATATGTTACCTATTCCTTGAACGCCAACAAAAATATTTCAATAGATGTTTTTATAATAACAATAGGTGTTTTTATAACTGATTAAATGTTTTTATAAGTATTTAACTGTTAAAAATAATTAGTGAACTTGATAAAATTGCAACATTTTATCACTTTTTGTTAAGAAAAAAAAGTAGATTTTGGGGTTAAAATTATTATGAATTTTAAAGAAATAAAGAAAGGAAAAGACCAAGCAACCGACATTCGTTTCTTCCAACTACTTAAAGATTACTGTCAACAACACCAACCGCAACTTCAACCAGTATCTGGCGGAAAACTCAAAGAGTGTGGCCTGCAAGTTCCATATTCGAACAACGAGGACATCTACAGACTGGTGAGAAGAGCAGCTGTTTTTCCAATGTTACCAACTGAGGAGGTGGAGGACGTCTGGTTTCAAGCTCTCCAAGACTTAGAGGATGTAGATACCGACATCAACACCGCAAGATTTACCGACTACGTGACCGAGTACTGGGTAGAAGGCAACCGTCATCTGTGTTGATCGAGCTGTTACAACGTCAGGAAGCTGCTTCCAGATGTCAAATGCTGCAGTACGCAGCCGTTGGTAAACGAATCAACAGAAAAAGAAAATACAGAGAAATTGAGACCAGACTCGGTAACCTGAAACAGCGACACGCCAACAGAGAAATGACAACTGTACAGTTGGCTGACTCAGCATCGTATCTTTTACACTTGTAATAGACTGTTAAATGTGAAAAGTGCTTGTATAAACTATTCAACAATTGTTATCAGATCACATATATAGTGCTTTTTGTCAATCTGCTAAATGTTTGCTTATGTTATATGTATTGTTTTCTGTGCGCTCTGTGTACAAATAAAAAATATATTATTCAAAATTGATTTTTTTCTTCTTTTTATGCTATGAAAAAAGTATGAAAATATCTTCCACAACTCTACAAAGTTTCAAGAAAATCCATAAAATAGGGTAACAAGAATTCCGATGAGTAACAAACACCTAAACAATATATTATGAATCACAACTGAACAAAATGAAACATAGTAATCTAACACGAGATACAAAGTTTCAAGATATTCCATCAAGTAATATGGGAGATATTACAGCACACACAACTATAGAAATATTGAAAAAAAAACCCATCAAAATCCAAAGAGGCTATTGCAGAATTTGTGCAAACTGGAATTCCTGACAATATGCACATGTTGACTTTGTGATGCAACACTTTTCAAAGTTTCATTTTAAGAGAATCCATTTTTTTCAAGCAGTAACAGCAAACAATGATTTTCAACAACTTGACAAACATGAACTAGATTTAGCTACCTGTATTTTACCTATCTGTTTAATTAGTATGATTGTTTTGATAAGCATGCACTTTTGTTGTGATAACCACTTGCACCTATTCCTCGAACGCCAACATAATTTTACAGGTAAATTGTCGGTAGATCAAAGGATGTTGGCATTCAAGGAATAAACCGGTGAGTCCAACAGTAAAAAAAGTAAAAATTTTAAAGATATTTTCAAAATTTTGCTCTGGATACAGTATTTTGATGAAAAAAAAGCTTAAATCCAAGGACAGATAGAAGAGCATAAAATGCAAGGACTATATGCTACCCAAAAATTTATTCATGGGCATGGAAACTATACTTTTTATACAATTACCGAACCATGACATATGGTAGACTAAACTTCAGAGCATAAAGGCATCTGAATACCAGATATTGTTAATCCAACTTCTCTAACTTCTTAAATATAAAGTCTAACATGCATTTAAATCGTATATGCATTGCAACCAAATTATCATCCTTAAGTCTTGACACTCAGCTTCATTTATGGAAGGTAAGACAAAATGTTAGTTATCTCTCTTTATTTCCCACTTAATTGTTTTATTGCTTACCAATTAGTTGTTGTGACAAAAACATGAAAGAAATCACTATTGAAACTTGTTGCTCAGTCTTTAGTTTTCTATGTTGTGTTTTGTGTACTGTTGTTTGTCTGTTTGTCTTTTTCTTTTTTTAGCAATGGCGTTGTCAGTTTATTTTCTACTTATGAGTTTGAATGTCCCTTTGGTATCTTTCGCCTCTCTTTTACTGACTTTTTATGTTGCCAAGGCTTCAGGTCAACTGGAAAGTTCAAAATAAATAAACATGTGGCATTTACCTGATCTTACAATTCACCCACTTTCTGTAATACTCACCACTTCATAATTCCTAAGTCATCTGTCATTATGTAATTAAGGGAGTTGATACAGTTTCATATTGTATTGTAATTTTTGTGTTTTTAAAATATGTTGTGGATAAAGATGAGATGTTTAAAAATCATAAAATCAAAAAAAGGTTGCAGTGCTTGATTTCATGAAGATTTTTAAAATTATATGCTAGCTATAAGACCAGGTTTAATCCACCATTTTCTACATAAGGAAATACCTGTACCAAGTCAGGAATATGACAGTTGATAAAGGACTTTCCGTTTTGATTATTCCTTAGAGTTTAATATTTTGTTATTTTACCTTTTAACTAGTATACTTATGATATATTTCCTTTATATCAAGCTCTATGCTCATTTTAACATGGGTAGGCATTATATTTGTCAATATTTTACACGGAGCATTAGCGAGGTGTACATATGGTCAAGTATAATGCCTATACCCATGTTAAAAAGACATAGAGCATGACATGAAGGAATTATTTCGATCCTAATAGGTCAAATACAGTATTTATATAAGTGGAAGCTTACGAAAATACCTTAGAATGTTTGCTGTTCCCATTTACTCTCCATGAAGTATGTACATTACATTTTCATATTTTAAATAAGTTTAAAAATTGGAAGCAGGGTAAATGTATGTTTTTTGGATATTAATATATAATGAAAATTTATGTAAGCAGCTAAACTGAATATATTTTATGAAAATAACGAGAATGAAAACAAGTAAGTTTGTGCGCATGTGTCAAACATATTTTGTGCTAATATTAGAGCACAGCTTTGTTTACAAAGCGTAATTAGGATGTCATTTCAGAATTGGCAATAAAAAAGACAAATTTGTTTTATTTAATGATAAAACTTTTGCTATGCTACTCATTTGATGGGTAATTATGTGCAATTATCATATGACAAATGTTAAGGCCTGAGATAAGATTATCATGATTATGTGACTAAGACGTCATCATAAACAAAACAGAAAACAATAGGTAATTGAACATTTACACATTTATTGGAAGTAAAACCTAATCAATTACAATTCAAAACCAATAAACAGTGAATTGAATGAATACAATGTAATACCTAATAAATTGATAACCCTTCAGTATCTTCTCCCTCTTTTCTCCTAAATACAGTTTACCATTAGGAGCAAAACTAACAGGAGCAGTTCTACAGATAGAAGATGATCAGAGAACTATTTAGAACCTATACAAGATTTTTTGTATATATTAAGAAATCTAACAATCAAACTAGTAAAATTACAGCCTAACGAGATCAAATGCATAAAATTTTGCTTCAAAACATAATATACTTGCCTCTTTTCAACAAAATTATTATCTTTTAAAGATAAAACCTTGTTTTAAATGTTTTTTTAATCATTATATTTGAAGAAATACAACTCTCAGACTGCTATTAATGTTTTACACAATATTTTTCTTTCTTTTTCCTATGTTTGCTTTTTTTTCATATGTCACTTCCCATCTTTTCACTTTGATACTTGTCAGAAAGTAATATATATTCTTTATGCATCCTTCATCAAAAGGATTAAAATCATAGTCTAAATATTTGAGGTATGTAATTCTCTCCCTTGATACCATTTCCCATGTAGTCAATCCTTTTATCATTAAGTAACTATGGAAACAGAATAAACCAATCACACTCATTCCTCCTAACACAAGCACTAACATGTCTAACAACAATACTATATTAGATTTAAACCATTCTTTCCATGTTAACTGGAACTTAAATGATGACCTGCAAATATAAAAGCAAAATATAAAAAAATTATGTAAAACCTTTGTGAAGAATTTCACAGAACATTTAAATTTAATGACGTGACCAAAGTGAACAATTATATGGCAAGTGACATAGTGATGAAATCTTTTCTTGCGCCTACTATAGTATAGTTAGTGCACGACAATAAAAAATTCCTTTTATTTATCTGATGGTCAAAGTCCCATAACATTGGAATGACATTTCATAAACTTTTTTTTAAATTGAACAATGTGTTAATTATGTTCACCAATTTTAACAGTTATGTTAAGTAATCATCCCAAGTTATGGTACAACATGTGAAAAATTTACTAAATCTGACAATTAAAGTCCTGTAACTCTGGAACTAAAAAATTAAAAAAATGAATAAAAACTAGAGGCTCTAAAGAGCTGGAGTCGTTCACCTGCATATTAGAAAATGGTCTAGACAATAAGCATTTTTGTAACTTCAAGACATAACTCGTGTGTTAGTGTATGGATCTCTCTGACATTGTACCACAAGGTTCCATATCACAAAGGAAATGCTGGGATTGATTTTGGGGGTAATTGCCTCATAATTTTAGGAATTAGGGGCCAAAAAAGGGGCAAAAAACAAGCATTTTTCTAGTTTCATGACAATAACTTGTGTGTAAGTGTATGGATCTTTCTAAAATTGTACTACAAGGTTCCATATCACAAAGGGAAAGCTGGAATTGAGTTTGGGGGTAATCGCCCAAACTTTTGGAATAAGGGGCCAAAAAGGGGCCTAAAATAAGCATTTTCTAGTTTCCAGACAATAGCTTGTGTTCAAATGTATGGATCTCTCTGAAATTGTACTGCAAGGTACCATACCACAAAGGGAAAGCTGGGATTGATTTTGGGGGGTAATTGCCTAAAAATTTTAGGAATTAGGGGCCAAAAAGGGACAAAAAACAAGCATTTTTCTAGTTTCATGACAATAACTTGTGTGTAAGTGTATGGATCTTTATGAAATTGTAATACAAGGTTCCATATCACAAAGGGAAAGCTGGGTTTGAGTTTGGGGGTAATTGTCCTAAACGTTTAGGAATTTTGGGCCGAAATACAAGCATTTTTCTAGTTTCCAGACAATAGCTTGTGTTCAAGTGTATGGATTTCTCTGAAATTGTACTGCAAGGTACCATACCACAAAGGGAAGGCTGGGATTGAGTTTGGGGGTGATGAATCATAAGGGGGTTCAAAAAATTTGGGGGGGGGGATTTTTGTTTTCTATTTTAAGACTTTTGTGATGTATATAAATTTGTCATTATGGTTGCAAACTCCATTGGAAATTTGAATTGAGATTATGACCATATCTTTAGGGAAAGAATTTTTTTTTAAAAAAGGGGGGAGGTGAACAAAAATTTAGGGGGGGAGGGGGGTAAAAAATTGTTGGGGGCATTTTTTTTTTTCATTTCAGAAATTAAAAAGAAAATTTCTTCAAATATTATTTCTTTTTGCAAAAATAAGGGGGGGGGGGGGGTAAATTTTTTTTTATGGGGGGGGGGGTGAATATTCAACAGCATAGTGTATTTCACAAAAGCAAAAAAAAAAGGGGGGTAAATTTTTTTTTTTGGGGGGGGGGTCAATTTTGCAACAGCATAGTGTATTGCACAAAAGCAAAAAATTGAATATAAATTCAAATCATATAACCAATTCTAAGTTCTTTGACTACAGTTATTTGGTGTCAGAAACCTATTATGTGTCAAATATTTAATTACAATCCAAATTCAGACCTGTATCAAGCACGAATATTATGTCCATTTTTGCCCCAACTGTTCAGGGTTGGACCTCTGCGGTCGTATCAAGCTGCACTCAGCGAAGCATTTTATTCCATCTGTAAAGGGGCATTACTCTAGAACGGTAAAAGTGACGCCACCAAAATTCAAACTTGATCTGTGTTTTGTGTTAATAAGCATTGTGTATAAGTTTCATAACATTTGTTTGAGGCAAACTAAAGTTAGAGAATGGAAACCAATTTTGGGACGTACCTACGGACGGACGGACGGATGTACAAACTGACAAGGGTAAAACTTAATGCCCCCTCCGCTACGGCGGGGGCATAAAAATTTGGTAAAATTGACTTGAAAGAGCAATAACTCCTGTAAGGAATCGTCTGACAATTTCAGCCATGTTAACTTATTTATAGATCTTAGATATAAGAAGATGTGGTATGAGTGCCAATGAGACAACTCTCCATCCAAGTCAAAATCTATACAAGTAAAGTACAGTCTTCAACACAGAGCCTTGGCTCACACCAAACAGCAAGCTATAAAGGGCCCCAAAAATTACTAGTGTAAAACCATTCAAACGGGAAAACCAACGGTCTAATCTATATAAATAAAATGCTCCGCTGGGCTCAGCTTGATACGACTGCAGAGGTCGAACCCTGAACAGTTGGGGCAAGTATGGACACAACATTCAAGCTTGATACAGCACTGAATTTGGATTGTGATTAAATATTTGACACAGCATAGGTTTCTGACACAGAATGAATGTGGTACAAATTGTCCATTAACCTGGAAACACTTTTCCCCCTTTTTTTGCACCTTATTCCTTAACGGTTTGAGCCATAACTCCCAAAAACAATTCTTACCATCCCTTTGTGGTATTCCAATATCCAAAATCTAAATACATGGTTATATTCAGCATATCAAAGAACCCCAAGAATTCATTTTTTGATGAAATCAAATAAAGTTCAATTTTGGACCCTTTAAACCTCAATGTGGACCAATTTGATAACCGGGCCCAAATATCAAAAATCTAAATACATGGTTAGATTCAGCATATCGAAGAACCCCATATATTCAATTTTTGTTGGAATCAAACAAAGTTTAATTTTAGACCCCGCTTTGGACCAACTTGAAATCTGGGCCCATAATAAAAAAACTAAGTACTTGTTTAGATTCAGAATCCCAAGAATTCAATTTTTGTTAAAATCAAACTAAGTTTAATGGCCTTATGACCAGGTGAGCTAACCACGAAAAATAAAATGCTTCGCTGGGGCGCAGCTTGATACGACCGCAGAGGTCGAACCCTGAACAGTTGGGGCAAGTATGGACACAACATTCAAGCTTGATACAGCTCTGAATTTGGATTGTTATTAAATATTTGACACAGCATAGGTTTCTGACACAGAAAGAATGTGGTCTAAGAACTTGAATTTTTTTTAATTTACCTATTATGGTCCAATGTCCAAAATCAAAATACATGGTTAGATTCAGCATATCAAAGAACCCCATATATTCAATTTTTGTTAAAATCAAACAAAGTTTAATTTTGGACCCCAACTTGGACAAACTTGAAAACTGGGCCCATAATCAAAAATCTAAACACATGTTTAGATTCAGCATATCAAAGAACCCCAAGAATTCAATTTTGCTAAAATCAAACTAAGTTTAATTTTGGACCCTTTGGACCTTAATGTAGACCAATTTAAATAAAATGCTCCGCTGGGGCGCAGCTTGATACGACCGCAGAGGTCGAACCCTGAACAGTTGGGGCAAGTATGGACACAACATTCAAGCTTGATACAGCACTGAATTTGGATTGTAATTAAATATTTGACACAGCATAGGTTTCTGACACAGAATGAAAGTGGTCTAAGAACTTAAAAATTTTCAATTTACCTATTCATACATGTGATGGACTGTGAAACTCAGATCAGGAGATTGGGAAATTTTGGTCAGGAGATTAGGACTCAGATCAGGAGGTTTTTAATCGACATTAATTTTGTTGTAAATGTAACCGTGTGCTGTAAAAATGGTCTTTTAAAGTGTGTTTTCTTCAACTTTCCATCCAATTTATTATGTTTATAGTACCCTTGTACTTATAAAGTTTCTCCATCTTTATATTCTACATGTTCAATCTAACATTGTTTTTTTCCAGTATGTTCTTTAAATTTTTTACTTCATATTCTATAAAACAATCATTGCAACCAGAACATTTGTTTAGCTATCTGCAAATATGTTTTTTTTTTTTTTTTTTTTCTCTTGCAAATAGTTTTTATTTGCAAACTCAGAAAATCATTCTATCTGTAAAATTAGGGTCATAGTTACTATATAAATTTCAATTTAAGCCTTGAAAGGAAGTATAGAATCCTCAAATAATTTTCAAATTATTATTTTTTTATTTGTCTCCTAAGACATTTAAAATCATTTAATAACCATCCTTTTATGATTATTTGTTCAATTTATATTTTATTTATATTCTTTTAAAAATTTTCATTATTAAAAGGAAAGTAACTTAAAACAGGATAAATCAAGGGAAGTAACCCAATAAATACACAGTTTTTGTTACACAACGGCAGTTAGCCTGAGGTAAAAATCGTTGATTACCAGTATGTTTGACACCCAAGCTGACAAGTGAAGCCATATAATTATGCATGTTAATTGATTTACAGGTAAAATATAACTTCAGGTAATGTCAGTTACACCAGATGCCTGAGATGATATGTTGGGCAGAAATTTTTCATTCATGAAAAATTTCATACACGGGATTTTTTCCTCTTCAACGGGAGGTCGGGAGGAGACCCCTGAAAACGGGATTATTGTACTCCCGTCGGGAGGTTCACATGTATGCCTATTCAAACCATATCATTATTATTTGCTTTTATATATAAATCAGAAATAACCAATTTAAAATGGAAAATGTTAAAGAAAAAAAAGGAAAAAAAAAATCCCCCCCCAATTTTTTGAACCCCCTTATGATTCATCACCCCCAAACTCAATCCCAGCTTTCCCTTTGTGGTATGGTACCTTGCAGTACAATTTCAGAGAGATTCATACACTTGAACACAAGTTATTGTCTGGAAACTAGAAAAATGCTTGTTTTTGGCCCCTTTTTGGCCCCAAATTCCTAAACGTTTAGGGCAATTACCCCCAAACTCAATTCCAGCTTTCCCTTTGTGATATGGAACCTTGCAGTACAATTTCATAAAGATCCATACACTTACACACAAGTTATTGTCCTGAAACTAGAAAAATGCATGTTTTTTTTGCCCTTTTATGGCCCCTAATTACTAAAATTTTGAGGGAAAACCCCCAAAATCAATCCCAGCCTTCCCTTTGTGATATGGAACCTTGTAGTACAATTTCATAAAGATCCATACACTTACAAACAAGTTATTGTCATGAAACTAGAAAAATGCTTGTTTTTTGCCCCATTTTGGCCCCTAATTCCTAAAATTTGGAGGAAATTACCCCAAAAATCAATCCCAGTATTCCCTTTGTGATATGGAACCTTGTAGTACAATTTCATAAAGATCCATACAATTACAAACAAGTTATTGTCATGAAACTAGAAAAATGCTTGTTTTTTGCCCCTTTTTGGCCCCTAATTCCTAAAATTTGGAGGCAATTACCCCCAAAATCAATCCCAGCATTCCCTTTGTGATATGGAACCTTGTGGTACAATGTCAGAGAGATCCATACACTTACACACAAGTTATGTCTGGAAGTTACAAAAATGCTTATTTTTGGCCCCTTTTGGCCCCTAATTCCTTAACTGTTAGTACTATAACCCCCAAAATCAATCCCCACCTTCCTTTTGTGGTATTGAACCTTATGGTAAAATTTCATTGAGATCCATTCACTTAAACTAAAGTTAGAGTGCGAAAACTAATGTGTATTCGGACGACGACGCAGGACGACGACGACGACGACGACAACGTCATACCAATATACGACCACAAAAATTTTTTTGCGGTCGTATAAAAACGGGACTTAAAATTAAAAATCTAAATACACGGTTAGATTTGGAATATCAAAGAACCCCAATAATTCAATTTTTGATGAAATCAATCAAAGTTTAATTTTGGACCCTTTTGACCTCAATATGAACCAATTTGATAGCGGGGCCCACAAATAAAAAATCTAAATTCATGGTTAGATTCAGCATATCAAAGAACCCCATATATTCAATTTTTGTTGAAATCAAAAAAAGTTTAATTTTGGACCCCAACTTGGACCAACTTGAAAACTGGGCCCATAATCAAAAATCTAAACACATGTTTAGATTCAGCATATCAAAGAACCTCATATATTCAATTTTTGCTAAAATCAAACAAAGTTTAATTTTGGACCCTTTGGACCTTAATGTAGACCAATTTGAAAACTGGACCCAAAATTAAAAATCTAAATACACTGTTAGATTCGGCATAACAAATAAATAAATGTGATCAAAGATTTTACAAATCTAATGCGCCATACTGTGCAATTAAAGATTACTTCTTGAAATTTTTCAATATTTGAAATTTGAAAAAAAAATAATATTTGAAGAATAATTCTTTTTAATTTCTGAAATCTGAAATGAGAAAAAATTGACCTCCCACAATTTCTTTTTATTCCCCCCCCCCCCTTTTTTCCCCCAAAAATTTCTTTCCCTCAAGATATGGTCATAATCTCAATTCAAATTTCCAATGGAGTTGGCAACCATAATTACCCATTTAAATTTACCATAGTGCTAACTTAATCTATTTTATAATAGAATTAAAAATATAGTGTCTAATCTTTCATATGGATTTTTTTGTAAAAAAAAAAAGATGCAACATTTGAAGATATTTTTACCGGTCTTCCTTTATAAATATGCATTTCTTTAAACATAATTTAAAAGCAGTGTAAGGGAAGTAACCAAAACGTTGTATTTGGATTACCTCCCTTACACTGTATTAAATTATCTTTATTGTTCATTAACCATTACTTTATACATAATTTAAAAGCAGTGTAAGGGAGATAATTTCAATGATGTATTTGATTTATCTCCCTTACACTGCTTTAAATTATGTTTTGTACTAAAGAATTTGTCCATTAACCAGGACAACCTTGTTTTTCCCCCTTTTTGCCCCTAATTCCTAAACGGTTTGAGCCATAACCCCCCCAAAGCAAATCCTAACCATCCCTTTGTGGTATGGAAACTTGTAGTATAATTTCAGAGAGATCCATACACCGTTCCACAGTTATTGTCTGGAAACTAGAAAAATGCTTATTTTTGGCCCCTTTTTGGCCCCTTATTCCTTAACTGTTGGTACCATAACCCCCAAAATCAATCCCAACCTTCCTTTTGTGGTATTTAACCTTATGGTCAAATTTCAAAAAGATCCATTCACTTAAACTAAAGTTAGAGTGTGAAAACCAATGTGTCTTCAGACGACGACGCCGGACGACGAAGACGCCGGACGACAACGACGACGCCCACGTCATACCAATATACGACCACAAAATTTTTTTGCGGTCGTATAAAAAATTGACTTTCAAGGGTAGTAACTCCTCATGCTTCTATAAGGGTTTAATTGACAATTTCGGTCATGATGAATTATTTGTAGGTCTTACTTTGCTGAGCATTTTTGCTATCAAAGTTTCTGTTAATCTATCATAGTTTCAGAAAAAACAAGACATCTAATAAAATAGGCTTTTAAGGGCAATAACTTTTTTAAGGGATCAATTGACAAATTTGTCCTAGACTTATTGGTAGATCTTACTTTGCTGAACATTTTTCTGTTTAAAGTTTCTGTTTATCTATGATAGTTTTGAAGATAATAACCAAAAACTGAGAAATTTCATAAAAATAATTATTTCAGGGGCAATAACTCCAAATTGGCTAGGATGCCAAGTGATGACAATAGCTCACTTAGCCCTTTGGACTACGTAAGTTAATAAAATGGGTATATATAAACAAATAGATATGTGAAATTCTGTTACACAAGCAACTTCAAAAGAAATTTAAATCGTTCCATTATTTATAAATTGGTAAATTGGTAAAATAGTCATGATATTCAAAAATTCCTCAAAATATCACGATAAAATCCAGCATAAAAGAAAACACAAAGAACTGTGAGCAAATTTGACCTTTATGCTACTCCTTTCTAACAGACAAAAGAAACATCTTACATTTATCTTAAATGACCATTTTACATACCATGTAATCAGAAATGTCCAAAAGATAAGTATACATGTAACTGCTAGAAATAACCAGAAGTATTTATGATTCCTTTCTCCAACACAAGTCTCTAACCATGGACAATGATGATCATATCTTCTGATACATTTCTTACAGTCTTCACAATGCTTACTCCTCATAGGTTGCTAGAATCCACAAAGAAAACAATTAGTTTGTAAGAAATTCATTTCTCTGTATATGAAAAATTTACCAACACCCTAAAAAAATTAAGAATAAATTCATTAATTTAACAAGAGTGCACACGCTGAAATGTCTAGCCTGTTTTCTGACCATTGATTTTATGTTGAAAGTCTTAAAAATAAAGATTTTACTACAAGTATCACATACACTTAACATTTTTAAAGATCCATGACAATGAGGTCAAGGTCAGATAAAAACTGTCACACAAACATGTACACCTTACAATTATTCCATACACCAAATATAGTTGACCAATTGCTTATGGTAATTGAAAAACAGGCCAAAACACAAAAACTTAACGTTAAACAATGAACCATGAAAATGAGGTCAAGGTTAGATGAAACCTGCCAGTCTGACATGGACCCCTAACAATCATTCCATATGACCTGTTGCTTGTAGTATCTGAGAAACGGACCTTATCACGTAACTTTAACCTTGATATCTGATCCATGAATAGAAGTCAAGGTCAGGTTACCCCTGTCTGACGGACATGTAGACGACGGAATCTAAGGATCGCTATGTCTCACTTTTGCAAAATAAATTTCGCAGGCTTGACAAAAACTGTAAATATGAAACAGAAACAGATATAACAAGTTTTATTTGGACCCTAATATTAAAATTTTCAGCCAAAGCCCCCATGGATCCTTATTTACCTGGGTGCCTCAATTGGCCGCCCCCAAACCCCTGCCTTGTCTGTTTCTGATTCCTAATTACAGCCCTGACCATGAAAATGAGGTCAAGGACCATGGGCATATGACAGATGGAAACTTCGTAACATAAGGTATCTGCATACAAGGTATGAAGCATCCAGGTCTTCTACCTTCTGAAATATAAAGCTTTACACAAATACCAGTAATTTATGCTGAGTGTACGCTCAGGATAAAATTAACGAATATCACGGCCCAGGCCATGTGTAAATTTCCAACAAATCTATGGCTTCCATGAATTATTTCGATTCTAATAGGACAAATACGGTCATTAAAAAAATGAAGCGAGGGTGAGTATGCCGTGTGTGTCGCTATTCTTTTTTACTCCCTGTTAGATAAAGCTTAACCTTTCTAATAAATATGTAGCTTGCAGCAAATATTTCGCAAATAACTGCTAGAAAAAATGTGTTTAATTCTTTTAACTCTCAAACCCAACATTTGCCATTTGTAATTTACATGTTTTTCTTGTAAGCTACTGTCAAATCCAAAGTTGACATTTCGTAACTAAGGAGCCGCCATGTTGACTTGCTGAATTCAGTAAATATGCGAATAATGCAATAGAATAGAAAATAAAACAAACCCTACCTCAAAAATTCATTTTAATGCAATATTATACAAACTTCCATGGGTCACATAACGGAAAAACCTTCAGCTTTAGCGTTTTCATTTGTATGACGTCATGTTTTGAAATGACTTAAATGTACCAAAAGCATTAACGGACTTTCGCGGAATTTTAATTTATTTTGATTTTGTAGATTTCTCCGAGCTATTGTGCATTTATTTTTTTTGTTATGCATCCGAATAAGAATAGAAGTTCTGCAGTCTTTTTTCAATTGTAATTTTTAAAACAATAAAATCGGCATAGCGTTTGCAAATAAGTTCCGATACATGTGGATTTACGTAGGAGGTATTTTGTAACATCCATTATTATGTATATCTCTGAGTCTGCGCTAAGTATAGATATATCGAGTATTTTATCATGGTGTTGTTTACAAAGCGAAAGAAGCACATCATATTAGAATTGACATTTTGTCATGCTGTTGCTTTTTATAGCTGAATATATAGTATGGATTTTGCTTATTGCTGAGGGCTGTATGGTGACCTATAGTTACCTACACCATGTCATTTGGACTCTGTTGGATAGTTGACTCATTGGCAATAATACCCCATCTCCTTATGTTATAAATGTTAATTATTTTTCCCAAAACACTAAAAATATGGCAAATGCTCTTATATCGTTAGTCTTGATTTAAAAGTTTACTATCATAAGGAATTGATATTTGACAGAACTGCATTAAAATTACCAGAAAAGTCTTCAGTTTATACAAACATTTACTTTTCAAATGCACAGAACATCATTATAGAGCACCAGTATTGTTACTGGGAATTTTCACATAAAATATGTCCCATCATGATTCCACAATCACATGGGAATGCCCTTCATAGCAAAACCCTATGTTATTATCAAGCACTTGTATGTGGAGTCTTTATACATTGATTTAAAATAATTTACCTCCATTTCACAGAAATCACAGTATCTGTAAAGGCTTTTTTTATCTTTATTCATCATCTGTGCTTCTTCATCCTCTGATGAACTGTCTTCATATGCAATGTTGTTATTTACTGATTTCTGGAGAAAAACAAATGTTAAGTAATATTATCTTACATTTCAGGTTATGCATACTTAGATATCTATTTTAGTAAACTTGTGTTGTTGGGTTATTGTATTCTTATATGGAAGATGGGGATTCATGAGTCAGGTGAAGTAAATTATAACCAGCACTTTTATGCTCTCTGTCAAATGGGGTCACGACCATTAAATATTAGTCTTCATTCTATTAATATTCATGTGCCTGTCCTAAGTCAGGAACTTCCTATGAGGTTGTCTTTCTTATTTGGAAAATATTGATTTAATGGCAGGTCTTTGATAGTTTCTGTTTGATTTATTCTCAACTTTTTCAGACTGTGAATGACTTTGCACTAGAAATATTCTGTAGACAACACCTTTGTGTTGTTAATGTCTGTATTTTTACCTATAGATGTCACTGATTGTTTAGTTGCTGTCGCAATGACGTATACTCCAAATCTCATGTTATTCATACATAACTAAGGTCTAGCTATTAACAAATCATTTGAGAATAGAAATGTTGTTTGGGACTACAAATTACTAGTGAAATTTATTTTGATGTTTTCCATACAAGATGAAAAAGCTGGAGGGTAAAGATCTAACAAAACTATATGTCCTAAATCGAAAGTCTGTCAATCTTTGATAGTGTATGCTCAATTTATCCAGTACTTTTTACACTCAGGGTGATTTAGACCTTGACACATTGTTACTTTATTGAATGTAGAAACCTGTCTATTGTTGAAGACAAAATACTTATTTGTTAATTTCTATTATTTTGTGTTTATGTGTGTGCTTGTGTTGCTGTGTGATTGAAGCATTAGCCTACATAACTTTTTATTCATATAGAACCCCTACTTGGCAAAAAAAAGCATTAGTGACAGCTGGAAAAACTTGATCTGCAGTATCATCCGAATACAAGAGTGTGCACACTGGAATGTCTCACCTGCTTTACTGATCATGATTGAAATGATGTTAAAGGTTTATTACAAATATCACATAAACTTAACATTATCAATAAGGTCATGGTCAAATAAAGTCTGCCAAACAGACATATTCACCTTACAATCCTTCCATACATACGTCAAATATAGTTACCCTATTGCTTATAGTATCTGAGAAACAGACCAAACCAAGAAAACTAAATACAGACCAATGAACCATGAAAGTGAGGCAAAGGTCAGATAAAACCGTCCAGTCGGACATGCTCACCTTAGAATCATTCCATACACCAAATATAGTTGACCTTTTGCTTATAGTATATGAAAATCAAACATATGACAAAAATTCAACATTGACCAAAGAACCACGAAAATGTGGTCAAGAACAGATGGAACCTGCCAGTCGGACATGTTAACCTTACAGTCCCTCCATACACCAAATATAGTTGACCTTATCAAAGATAGAGGCTTGACCATGCAATCTTACATTTAACATGATCCATGAAATCAGATGCGGTCAAGGTTAGGTGAACCCTGTCTCACAGACATGTAGACCTTGCAAGGATCCCATATACCAAATATACTTTTACTTATAATTAGTGAGAAATTCAATGTTTAACTTTAATATAATGAATAAACATAATTTCCAGCACTAGAATTTAAAAATAGGCAAAAATAAAGGGAGTAACTCTTTATGAATTTATTATGAAATGCATTTAGTTTCCATTATAATACTCATCATACCTTTAGATGAAATGACAGAACAGTACTATGTTTGATACTTAAGCTGTGGCTATTAAAAAGCCTCTTTAGGGTCAAAACTAATTGTGGCTAATATATCAAACTCAATAAAGTGACTGCCAAACTGAAAGAAAACTGGCAGTCAAAAAAGGTCAGTTTAATTGTTGAAAAAAAGAAGTAAAACTCATTTAAAAAGGTAGGATATTATGGCTAGCTTGGACAATGTGTTTCATACAGAATAAACATATGCATAATGGTCAATTAATGTTATTTAATGTACAAACACTTCCAGCAGCTGATCTTTTATTAAGTATAAACAATTCTGAAGGCATGTGTACAACTGTCGGAATTGTCTGTGTGCAAATAATTAATTTCGATTGTGTCACTGGTCAGCACTTGGAAGATGAGTGAAGCCATTGAATTGTTGTCAGAAGTCATAAACTATCTCAAAATTTAATTAAAACACAAAAGAATCCAGTTACAACTGTAATTTGTCTTAATAATCCAACGAACAACACAGGTTAACCTGATCAGGTAAATCGATCATGTGCTGTAAAAAATGAATGGCCTGGTTAAATTCCACCTGGATTTTTATACCACACTGATAAGATTTAACAAGTTGGGATAAAATTTTAACAAAAATACAATTTTTTGACTGCAAATTATAGCAACACGGGAAAGAAATATAGGACAACATGTATGACTGATGGCACACACAAAATTATAGGACAGTGTTGGCAGTACTTTCAGGGCTTGGGGAGAACATGTACACTGCATCTGACAAAAAAATAACATATAATTTTTTAAAGCAGTTGCCGAACCATGAAAAAGTTGTCAAGAGCAAAGGACATATTCCAGATGGAAACCTGATAAAATAGGGCATCTGTTTACAAGGTATGAAGGTATAGAACCACTTATTCTGGCCAAGTCAGAAAGAGCATACAAGAAAGTAGTACATATTTTCAACAAAATAGTTCCTACCCATAGCTGTAACTTTGTCGATAAAAAAAAAATTTGAGTAATTTTGGTTTCAAATGAAAGCTTAAGGACTTGGGATCACTGCAGATTTCTTGTTGAAAGTTTCTTTTGAATAATAAAATAAATGTGGAAAGTGTCCACATGTGGACACAGATGATGCCCCCACTTGCATATCATATAGTTATAAAGGGACATAACTGAAGAATGGTAAAAGTGACTCTACCCAAATTTGAACTTGATCTGAGTTTTGTGGTAATAAGCATTGTGTGTAAGTCTCATAACATTTGGTTGAGGCTAACTTAAGTAGAGAACAGAAACTAAAAATTCAGCAATTTTTCTATTTGTTTACACGCATAACTCTAGAACAGTTGTGTATAAGTTTTAGAACATTTGGATGAGACAAACTAAAGTTTGAGAACGGAAACGAAAAATTCAGCAATTTTTATGTTTATAAAGGGACACAACTCAAGAGTGGTAAAAGTGTTGCCACCAAATTTTGTACTTAATCTGTATTATGTAGTAATAAGCATTGTGTATAAGTTTCATAACATTTGGTTGAGACAAACTAAAGTTAGAAAACGGAAACAAAAAATTTGTACTTGATCTTAGTTTTGTGGTAATGAATATTGTGTATAGGTTTCATAATGTTTGGTTGGGGCAAACTTAAGTTACAGAATGGAAACTAAAAATTTTGCAATCTTTCGATTTATAAAGGGGCATAACTCAATAATGGTTAAAGTGACACTTCCCCAAATTCAACTTGATCTGTGTTTTATCAGTGGAAATCAAAATTAAACATTGCATTGTATAAAGCATTGATTGTAGTTGATTCAACTATAATCATGGACAAAGGAAGATAACTCCAATTTTAATAAAATGCTCCACAGGGCGCAGCTTGATACGACCGCAGAGGTCGAACCCTGAACAGTTGGGGCAAGTATGGACACAACATTCAAGCTTGATACAGCTTTGCATTTGGATTGTGATTAAATATTTGACACAGCATAGGTTTCTGACACAGAATGAATGTGGTCTAAGAACTTAAAAATTTTAAATTGGACATTCACCTATTATGGTCCAATATCCAAAATCTAAATTCATGGTTAGATTCAGCATATCAAAGAATCCAAAGAATTCAATTTTTTATGAAATCAAACAAAGTTTAATTTTGGACCCTTTTGACCTCAATGTGGACAAAGTTGATAACGGGGCCCAAAAATCAAAAATCTAAATACATGGTTAGATTCAGCATATCAAAGAACCCCATATATTCAATTTTTGTTGAATTCAAACAAAGTTTAATTTTGGACCCCGATTTGGACCAACTTGAAAACTGGGCCCATAATCAAAAATTTAAATACATGTTTAGATTCAGCATATCAAAGAACCCTAAGAATTCAATTTTTGTTAAAATCAAACTAAGTTTAATTTTGGACCCTTTGGACCTTAATGTGGACCAATTTGAAAACGGAACCAAAAATTAAGAATCTAAATACACGGTTAGATTCGGCATATCAAAGAACCCCTATAATTCAATTTTTGATGAAATCAATCAAAGTTTAATTTTGGACCCTTTGGACCTCAATGTGGACCAATTTAAAAACGGGGCCCAAAATCCAAAAACTAAATACACGGTTAGATTCAGCATATTAAAGAACCCCAAGAATTCAAGAATAAAACCCCATTGAAATTGGTCAAGAAATAAGCAATTTATACAAAGTATCTTCTTTTGCACAATACTGTGCAATTAAATATTTCTTGCTATTGCGCAATACTGTACAATTGACAATTTCTTGCTATTGCGCAATTTTGTGCTATTGGATATTTCTTGCTATTGCGCAATACTGTGCAATTGAAGATTTCTTGCTATTGCGCAATACTGTGCAATTGAAGATTTCTTGCTATTGTGCAATACTGTGCAATTGAAAATTTCTTGCTATTGCACAATACTTATTATATAATAATTTACACATCCTGTTTGGTGTGTATCTCCTACCATATCATTATTATTTGCTTTTAAATATAAATCAGAAATAACCAACTTAAAATGGAAAATTTTAAAAGAAAAAAAAAAGGAAAAAAAAAAATCCCCCCCAAATTTTTTGAACCCCCTTATGATTCATCACCCCCAAACTCAATCCCAGCCTTCCCTTTGTGGTATGGTACCTTGCAGTACAATTTCAGAGAGATCCATACACTTACACACAAGTTATTGTCCTGAAACTAGAAAAATGCTTGTTTTTTGCCCCTTTTTGGCCCCTAATTCCTAAAATATTGAGGCAATTACCCCCATCATCAATCCCAGCCTTCCCTTTGTGGTATGGTACCTTGCAGTACAATTTCAGA